ACAGGGGGGGGCGGGGGTGTGGCAGTGAGGGCGCTGGGTGGGGCACCAGGGCCAGGAGCCCTCCCTGTGGCTGGGCGGCTGGGAAGTCAGGCCCCCAGGGAGCACTTCCTTTCTCACGTGGAATTAGGGATGTACCCCGTCTGGGCAAAGACCGAGAGAGAGGCAGGGTCTTCGGGCAGAGGCAGGACCCCAAGGGGGCAGGAACTCCGGGCAGGCAGGCGGGGGCTGGGAGGGAGCTGCTGGGAGACCCCAATGCTAAACTCTCAGCGGCAGCAGCATGGAGCCCACAGCCCACCAGGCTCTGGACAGAAGGCACCACTCTCGTGTCCCCCGCGTCCCTACCGAGCTCTGAAGGGCCCAGAGCCCCTCTTTATCTGCTGCCGGAGCAGGAGGGGCGGACAGGGATGGGCACGTTGAGACGGACGGAGGTCCAGAGGGACGCGGGGCACCACACAGTGGGGGCCTACAGCTGGGGGCCCCTGCCACCCCGCCCACCCCGCCCTGCCGTCACCCGCGGCGCCCTTACCCCATACACAGTGTCGTTGTAGGTGCACAGCTTAGGCCCTGGAAGGGAAGGGAGGGCTGAGGCGTGTGCGTGGTGGGGAGCAGGTGTCCAGGCACCTCTCCTGCCCCGGCCCCCACTCACGGCAGGCAAAGGTGGGGCAGCAGCCGCCCTCCTCCAGGGTGCGCGTCAGCTCCTCGCCTGGCCCACATTCTGGTGGGCCCTGGGGGCAGGTGGTCGCGTTGCAGACTGCAGGAGAGGCGGGCGCTGTTGGGGTGCCCCCGCCCTCCCTGCTCCAGCCCTGCCTTTCCCACGTTGGAGCCATGAGGGGTCCCTCTCTGTCAGCCTCCCGGTCCTCCCTAAGTCCCCTGGCAGACCAGAGGTCGCCGCCTCATTTTTAGGTGGAGAGCAAAGCTCCAGGAGGCGTCCCCACCTCAGTGGCCCGGTGGCGCTCAGGCCAGGATGCTGCAGGCTCTGCCGACCGGCGGCCTGGGCCCTCCACCCTCCTGCGCCCGCTCCCACCCGCCTGGCCGCGGGGGCGCGAGGCTCACCGCACAGCGTCTCAGAGCAGCATGGGTTGTCGGCCTGGGGCCTGCTCATGCTCACGAAGCCGGCCTGGCTGCACTCCGGGGGCGGGCGGTGGGCCTCGCACCTCACCGGGACGCAGTGCACGGCCACTGAGCCCTCGTCGCACTCGCAGGCCTGACAGTTGCTGACCCACCGCTCTCCAGGCTGGAACAGACCGGCTCAGGGTCCCCCAAGGCTCCCGGACGGTGCCCCAGCCTCTCGGGCTGCATCCCGCAGCAGGCCAAGCCCCGGTGCTCGGTTCGGCCGGGTCAGCCCTCAGTGTTCCCCTCCAGTCACCACCTCCCGAGCAGCCCGTGAGACTGCCAGGGTGCTGCCCAGGCAGAGTGGACAGCCCCAGGAGAGGGGTGCTCCCTCCCACCTCCTGCCTGAGCGAGGGCAGAAACACTCACGAATTTGGGGTACCCATCTGGTCCCACGCAGGCTGGAAGGAAAGGGGAAGGGGGTCACTGGGGATTCTGGGGTTCGTGGCCTGGTGACATAGGCCACAGGCCACAAGGATATGTCCTCTCAGGTCCGACCCTCCCCCCACCCACCCCAACCAAGGCCTCTGTCTTCCCACCGGGAAGAGAAGCTCCCGGAGAACTCGGGGTGTCGAGGAGGAGGCTTGGCAGGGCTCCAGACAAAGGGGTTGGAGCTGGGCGGGGGCAGCGGGTAGTCTGACAGGGAGGCAGGACAGGCCGAGGTCAGGGATGTGTCGCCTCTGCGGGGCTGGGGGCCCAGGCCATGGCGGTGCTTACGGCATGTGGGCACGCAGACGTCCGTGTAGGAGTTGAAGAGGATGTGGCCATCTGGACAGAAGCAGCCCTCCGCCAGCCCCGTGTTCTCCAAGCTGTGGTTCCTGCCAGGCCAGGAAGGAATCCTGGGACCTCCGTCCATGCGGACAGTGTCCGAGGGAGGAAGCAGCGGGCACGGATGGAGTGCGGGGGTGTTCGTGGCCCCAGATATCCCATGGGGTTGGGTCGGAGGTCGGGCTGGGGAGGGACAGCCCAGAGATCTTGGGCTGGGGGTCCTGGCCACTTCTCCAATCCCCGCTGGCTTCTCTCAGACCCTTTAGACACCCCGCCCCCCCATTCCCACTATCTGCTCACCTGGAGTCACAGGACATGGGCTGCACAGGGCCGCATGGCTTATACACCTTTCCAGGCGGGCAGGTGAGGTCTGGGAGCACAGAGACGGGTGTCAGGTGGGCCCGGGAGGCCAGAGCGCCTGGTGTCCCCCAGCCCCGCTACTCACCACACAGCCCGTTGGTGGCATTGCGCCAGTCACTGCACGCGCCCCGGGCACGGCACAGTGCCGCATAGGCCTCCAGCGTCTGGCAAGGCACGGGGCCAGCCTGGCAGCTGTCACTGACACAGGTCCGGAAGAAAGGGTCAGGTGGGATGAGGCTGTGGCACTCGGCGAAAACCCTGCAGGCAGGGCGGTCAGAGGTCGGAGCTGAGCCAGGTCCTTGGCCCGGACAGGGGTCACTGCCCCAGGGTGGCCAGACCCACGGGGAGAGACTCACTGGCTCAGCATCACCTCGCAGAGGGGCGCCGGGGGGCACGTGCTGGCGGAGGGCGTGGTGGGTGCCGGGGGCAGGGAGCTGGCCGTCGGGGGTGAGCCGGTCGGCGCCCAGCAGCCGTCCTTGCTGCTCTCGGGGACCAGCCAGCCGTGGGCCATGTCCTGGCAGGTGGGGGCCATGGTGCCGTCCGGCTGGCGACAGTCATCCGTCTTGTTGTTGGTGCAGGTGCCTGGGATGCCAGGCTGGGCAGGTCACCTCTGGGGCCAGGCTGGGTGCCCAGCTGTCCTGTTCTCACACCTTTCACCTTCTCCCCTGCCAGCCCCCCACCCCCCACCTCCCTGGCGGTTACTCAGTCATGACACTGGTCACTGGACCTAGAGGCAGCTCTGGCCTAGGGCAGGCGGCAGGGCGAGCAGGTGCAGGTCTGGGGGTGGGGATGTGGCAGGCGGCTGACGGGGCCACCCTGGGCGCATGGGAAGGATGTGGCAAGAGGAGCAGGCATGTGCCCCCCTGGGACTCCTGCTGCGTCCCCACTCACCGCACTGGCCCTCGGTGTTGTAGCTGAAGTGGCTGTAGGACAGCAGGATCTGGAAGGCTTGCCCATGCATGGTGATGCTGGCGCCGATGGCCGGGATGTCCACGTGCATCGTGCTGTTTGCCGTCACAGACACGCTCACGCCGTCCCTGCTGTAGCCGGATCTCACCCGCACATGGTCGAACAGGATCTGCGGACGCATTTGGGGCTGTGACCAGGGTAGTGGGGACCTCTCTTCTGCAGCCCCCAGGCCAAAGTGCAGATGCTCCACTGGGGGTCCGGTGGGTCCCCTGGTGCTCCCGGCTGCAAGTACCCCTTCCCCCCCACGGCCTTCCCTGCACCCAGTTCTCCTGCAGGGGCGCGGTGGGGGTGGGGCGGGGACAGGCCCTGCGTGGCCCCTTCAGGAGCTCCGCGGGACGCGCACGCGCACTCCAGGGCCTCTCGGGCGCCCCCTGGGGGCCCCGGACAGGCCTACGCCCGCTGGGCCGCCGGCACGCACCAGGCTCTCCTCCCGCCCGGCGTCGGTGGTGGTGCTGAGGACGATCTCCGTGGACCCGTAGTGGATGATGAGCGCGCGGGGGCAGCTGCGGGGGGCGGCGGGGGCCGCGCAGTAGTAGCTGTTGAGCAGCACGCTGAAGTTGCCGAAGCGGGGGTGGATCTCGCGCACGAGCACGTGGGTGCAGTTGCCCCGGAAGGAGTAGGACGTGCCGTCGAAGGTCCTGTACTTGGAGCCCCATCCGCTGCAGGAGCCTGGGACAGGCACAGCGCCCTCAGCCAGCGCCGCCCAGCACGGCCACCGCGGGGGCTCGCCCATAAGTTGGGCGAGTGGGTGGGTGGCCCCAGACACGTTCCCTCAGAGCCCGCGGGTGTGGCCTCATTTGGGAAAGGGTCCTCGCTGCTGTCATTAAGTTAAGAATCTCAAGAGGAGGTCATCCTGGATTACCAGGTGACCGAACTCCAGTGACCAGCGTCCTCATAGAGACGGGGAGAGGATGGGCCCCATGAAGAAGAGGCGGAGACCGCGAAGGCGGCCGCAGCCAGGAGTGCCTGGGCCCAGCGGCCGGGGAGGCAGGTCGGACCCAGGCCGGTCTGGCGGGGCTGGCCGATCGTTGCTGTTTCCAACCACCGGGGTGGTGGTCCCCCTGCGGGTGGCTCCCCGGCAGGTGGCTCAGGCCCCCGTTCCCACCCATCCTCTCCTGGTCTCAGCAGCCCCGGTGCCCCTCGAATGCCTGGGCCGCCCCCGCCGGGGCAGCCGGCCGGCACTGTGGCTTGTGTCACGTTATGTGCCCGTCACGTGGCCACTCACACTCGCACTCGTAGTGGTACTCGCAGGGGTCCTGCGGGCTCTGCACTTTGATGGGCGTGTGCCCGTTCACACAGGTGACCTTGGCCACGGGCTTCGGCTCCAGCAGGGCGATGTGGTTGTCGCCCTCACACTTGGCCACCGTGCAGTCTTTCAGCGTCCAGGTCTCGTTCACCTGGCAGACAGCAGGAGCGACACTCACCAGGCGGGCTCTCGAGACACAGCCATCTCACCCTGGGGGCCCGCACGGCCTGGGGCAGGGCAGCCCACAAGACCCTGTGCTTTCCTCCAGCCGAGCTGCCCATGGGGAGTCCCGGAGGGGCCGGGGCCGGCCTCCGCCTCAGCCATCAGCAGCCCCTGAGCCCCACACAGGACTAGGCAGGGAATGCAAGGAGGAGGGGTGCGCACCTGTCGGGGAGGGTCGACGAGGTCACAGCCTCGTGCCGCAGAGGTCGGGGGCACGGAGGACGAGGGCTCTGGGGGTGAGGAGGTGGGGCAGGCGCCCTGGAAGCGGTCCAGCTCGCAGTGCGGGTTACAGACGGCGTAGAAGTGGCAGCCGGCACTGTCGGTCCTGTTGTACACGACGTCCCCTGTGGAGGACACGGTCACTGGGTCAGCCAGAGGGACTGAGGGGGGCGCCTGTGACAGGGCGGAGCTTCTGGGGCACGGGACACTGGCGTTCGGGGCGGGCAGGCTGCGAGGGGCTCCACACTCACCGGGGAGGAAGAGCTGTCCGAAGGCCCGGCACCGACAGGGTGTGGCGGGGCTGGGTGGCATCGGCGAGGCGGTGGGCCCCCGGGAGCTGAGGACAGGCCTGGGCGTGGAGGACGCGCTGAAGGGCGGCCGGCGGCTGGGGGTCTCCGCGGACGGGGGCGGTGCCACCGTGGTGCGCAGCGAGGGGCCGCAGTGCAGGGCACAGCACAGCAGGCGCACGTGGAAGTTGTGGCAGTACGGCACCGGCCCCGGCTGGTCGCGGTTGCGGCACACCAGCCCGAAGCTCACGTTGCACTGCACCACCTGCCCCACGCCCGCCAGGCTCATGGCCGGCGCCCGCTCCGAGCGGCACTCGATGTCCTCAGGGTGCTCGCAGAAGACATGGCCGGCCAAGCGGAGGACCTCGAAGGTCTCAAAGTCCCCGCCACTGGGGCCGGGCGTGGGGTAGTCCTCGTCAAACCAGTCTGTCCACACGCACTGCTGCGTGCAGGCCCCGGGGGTCAAGGGCCCCGGGGTGGGCGAGCTGGAGCTGGGCTTCAGGGGGCTGGAGGGCAGGGCGGCCCCAGAGCTGCGGCCCGTGGAAGGGGACCCTGGGGTGGTCTGTGGGGGGAGGGTCACCAAGGGAGCTGTGTGGGGGCCACTGGGCAAGGCTGGCTTGGTGCTTGGAGTCCTTGGGGAGCCAGAGGGACTGGACACAGAGAACTTCCCAGTGGTTCTGATAGAGGTGAGCGGTATGTGGGTGGTGGCGACCCACTGGGTTGTCCTGGGTGAGGAGGGTCCTATCTCAGAGGTGACAGTGGTGACTGTCTGTGTGGTCCAAGGGGAGGAGGGTCCTGTTTCAGAGGTCGGAGTTGCGACATTCTGGGTTGTCCTGGGAGAGGAAGTTCCTGTCTCAAAGGTGAGAGTGCTCACACTCTGGGTGGTCCCAGGGGAGGAGGGTCCTGACTCACTTCTGGTTGTGGTGACCATCAGGGTGGTTATGGGAATAGAGATTCCTGTCTCAGAGGTGAGGGTGGTGACCCCCATGGTGGACCCGGGGGAGGAGGGTCCAGCAGCAGAGGTGACAGAGGTGACCGTCTGTGTAGTCCAAGGGGAGGAGGGTGCTGTCTCAGAGGTGGTGGCGCCTCTCTGGGTACTCCTGGATGAGGAAGTTCCTGTCTCAGAGGTCAGCGTTGTGACACTCTGGGTTATCCTGGGAGAGGAGGGTCCTGTCTCAGAGGTCACAGTTGTGACACTCGGGGTGGTCCAGGGGGAGGAGGGTCCAGTCTCAGTTCTTCGGGTGGTGACCGTCTTGGCGGTCCCAGGAATAGAGGTTCCTGTCTCAGAGGTGATGCTGGTGAGTCCTCTTGTTGTCTCAGGAGAGGAGGGTCCAGTCTCAGAGGTGAGGGTGGTGACCCTCTGGGTGGTCCCGGGGGAGGATGGTCCTGTCTCAGAGGTCAGAGTTGTGACCCTCTTTGTGGTCCCGGGAGAAGATGATCCAGTCTCAGATGTCAGAGTTGTGACCTTCTTTGTGGTCCTGGGAGAGGAGGGTCCTGTCTCAGAGGTGAGGCTAGTGATCCTCACGGTGGTCCTGGGGGAGGAGGATCCTGTCTCAGAGGTGGTGGTGGTGACCGTCTGGGTGGTCCCAGGGGCAGAGGGTCCTGTCTCAGATGTCAGAGTTGTGACCCTCTTTGTGGTCCCGGGAGAGGAGGGTCCTGTCTCAGTTCTTGGGGTGGTGACCGTCTTGGTGGTCCCAGGAATAGAGGTTCCTGTCTCAGAGGTGATGCTGGTGAGTCCTTCTGTTGTCTCAGGAGAGGAGGGTCCAGTCTCAGAGGTGAGGGTGGTGACCCTCTGGGTGGTCCCCGGAGAGGAGGATTGTGTCTCAGAGGTCGACGTTGTGACACTCTGGGTTATCCTGGGAGAGGAAGTTCCTGTCTCTGAGGTGAGAGTGCTCAAACTCTGGGTGGTCCCAGGGGAAGAGGGTCCTGTCTCAGAGGTGGTGGTGGTGACCCTCTGGGTGGTCCCGGGGGAGGATGTTCCTCTCTCAGAGGTCGGAGTTGTGACCGTCTTTGTGGTCCCGGGAGAGGAGGGTCCTGTCTCAGTTCTTGGGGTGGTGACCGTCTTGGTGGTCCCAGGAATAGAGGTTCCTGTCTCAGAGGTGATGCTGGTGAGTCCTCTTGTTGTCTCAGGAGAGGAGGGTCCAGTCTCAGAGGTGAGGGTGGTGACCCTCTGGGTGGTCCCCGGAGAGGAGGATTGTGTCTCAGAGGTCGGCGTTGTGACACTCTGGGTTGTCCTTGGAGAGGATGTTCCTGTCTCTGAGGTGAGAGTGCTCAAACTCTGCGTGGTCCCAGGGGCGGAGGGTCCTGTCTCAGATGTCAGAGTTGTGACCCTCTTTGTGGTCCCGGGAGAGGAGGGTCCTGTCTCAGTTCTTGGGGTGGTGACCGTCTTGGTGGTCCCAGGAATAGAGGTTCCT